CTTTAAAAAATGGAAGTGAGCACAAGATTTGGTTCATTTGAGGATCTGTTCACAAGTTTCTAAAATCAGTGCTGAATTCCTTTCTCTCATATTTCAAAGGAAGGTTTTTTTTAAAAAAAAAAGATTTATTTATTTATTTGAAAGGCAGAGTTTACAGAGGAGCAGAGGCAGAGGGATCTTCTGTCTGCTGGTTCACTCCCCAAATGGATGCAATGGCCAGAGTTGTGCTGATCTGAGCCAGAAGCCAGAGCTGCTTCTGGGTCCCCCACGGGTGCAGGGGCCCAAGCACTTGGGGCATCCTCCACTGCTTTCCCAGGCTAGAGCAGAGAGCTGGATTGGAAGTGGAGCAGCTGAGACTCGAACCGGTGTCCATATGGGATGCTGGTGCTGCAGGTGGCGGCTTTACCTGCTATGCCACAGCACCGGCCCAGGAACTTCTTAAAGATTGCAGTTTCATTGACTGGCTTTTATTAAATTGGATTAAAGTGTTTATATGGAAAAAATTTGATATACTTTTCAGAATGCAACTGACAGGTACTAGCCTATGTTTATGGGAGGAAAAAATCAATTACCTGAGACAAGGGGCCTAGATATCTTGGAAACATGTCTTGAGAACAACCCAACATTTGCAGATCAAAGGCCCTGCCCAATATCATTGTAAGGAAGGTCCCAAGTCTGGTGCCAGGAACCTTTCTGCCCAGTAATGTAACACCCAGGGAGGATCCTGCACTTGGGTGTTCTGCCTAGTAATCTTCCAGAGATGGGTAGGGAATATGGTTGAAAAAAATTTGCCCATACCCATACAAACCATAGTCTAAATGCGGATGGGGGCATATACACTGACTTTGGCTGAGATCCCTTCTTGATGAGTCAGGTGCACTTCTTCATCAACCTCACTAGTGTGCTTGCTGCCAGTCTCTTGTCTCTCCTCTGAATTCTTGTCCAATGGGGAGGTAAGGACTCCATTATAAATGTACCTGAACAAATGCTGTGAAGAGTTGGCCTGTCTTCCTGGAGAAGTGAGGGATGATCCCAGAAGCTTAAAAGGCCTATTTGCCTGTGAGAAACTCCCCTTTAGACTACCTTGGTGATGTCACAGCTCTTTCCATATTCAAGAGGAGAAGCAAATTTTGGAAGTGCTGAGCTTCAACTTCCAGCCTTACTGGCAAAAACCGCTTTCTCTACCTTTGTCAAAACAACACCACACACACACACCACACACACAACCAACAAAACACAACTTTGGGCTGAGTTAACAAATCAAACTCACATAAGACCACAGTTAGTTTGTTCTGAATTCCTGGGATCCTGTATGTGGGGAGTTCTGAAAGGGCTTGTGTTCAAGCAGCCCAGCATCTGCAACCCCTGGAAATGTCGTAGGGTGGCTGCTGTCCATGTTCTTTTCTTCAGGGCAAGAAAAGAGTTCAAGGATGAGACTTAGGTTAAAGTTTAGCAGAGAAACAAGATTAGTTACATGCAAAATGATGCATGCTCGAGAGAGCTACATTCTGTAAGGTTCAGGTCCATCCTTTTCTATGGCCTGGAGGCCAAAGGGATGGGCTTGGAGCAGAGCTTCTAAGAGCAGAAAGAGCATTTTCCTAGAAATTTTCTCACCTTACACTTTGTTTTTTTTTTTTTCACAGTTGTTAAAAAATGTATGAAGTGCCAACTATTTTTGGCTCAAAGAATTTTGTGATCTTAGATGTAGAAGCTATGGAAATAGGAAGTATGGAAACAAAAATGTCCTATCGGTGGTTGAATAGTAAGGTATTAGGTGGGTGGGTGTGTCAAAGTGAGTTTAAATCTGGGATAGAGACCACTGAACTAGCACACTTCATCGTATAACGTTGGGGGCAGTTGTGTACTCCCTTTGAACCAAAACTGCACTAGATTGTGAACAAAGCTTTGGAGAGAGCATTCAGCATTTATTTGCAGATACTGGCCTACCTACCAACTCAAAACACAACTCTCTTCTAGGCAACCTGGAGCCACACAGCTTTGGACCCAAGAAGGTTTGAGTATATACAAGGGTAGGGAGACATATTAGGGAGAGGTAAACAACCTAGACCTTTAGTTTGGTTCATAAAGGGTATTCAGTGATGGGAATTCCACCTGAGGGCAAGGGAAATTAGACCACCACTAGAAGGGCTGCCCCTAGATCAAGGCCACCTTGGATAACTCAGCTAGAATTTCTCTGTCTAGGCCTTCGGGATTGGGAAGCAGGAGAGCAATTATGTTCAGAGACTTTCTGGAAAGTATCAAGTTTCTTTTGAACACATAAAACATTCATACCACTGTGGAACTAGCAGGGATCACCATCAGTGACACTCAGTAGTGTGGCCTCTTTCAAGGCTCACACAAAGCAGTTGATTAGACAAATCATATTTGCCCAATGTCTGTGTCAGCACTGAAGCCTGAAACGGAATTCTTGATTCAGAGAACAGAATCTTACAATTTCCCTCCTCTGCAGTGATTTAAACACATACTCTCTGCTTACAATGTAGCCATAGGTAGAATCTGGTTTCCATTCATCATCTCTTTGGCAATATCCTTCATAAGGTGGATTGAATTGCTAAACCTGTTTTATGGAAGAGATGACAGCTTAGAGATAATAGAAATCTTCAACTCTTTTCTCACCTATAACATGTAAAATTGTGTAAAAAATCTGAGACAAAATTAGGACTCAATCCCAGTGTCCAGTGCTTTTTAGCACAGCGTATACTAGGCAATGATCAAGAAAGGAGAGCTGGATCAAACACTTTATCATTCTACATTATAAACCGGGGAGATAGTGTTTGCTGGCTTTTTTTCTCAGAAATGTCATAACAGATTTGAGATCATGTTGTGAAAACTTTAGTACATAAGAGCATACTATGGGAACATCTTCGATGTCCCTCTTTAAATCCTAGTAACTTTTTAAAATGAGTTTATTTGCTCATGGAAACAAGCACTTTAAAGATAGTTGAGAAAGCCCTACCTAAAACCACAATCAACAGTTTCTGGAATCTATCCGACAATGCTTTCTGAATAGTTTGTTTCTGGGATGTCTTCTCCTTCATAAGGAAAAATAGTGGTCTTAGATTCAACCAGAACAAATGGATGGAGAATGTCTAGATGAGTGCTGATAATATGTCTAAAAATGGAAGTATGTCCACTCTTCTTGGATGCATATCTTGGTGATGAAGGGGCACACACAGCACACGGTATCCTGGGAGGGCCCATCACCACTGTGCCCTCTATTCCAGAAGTTCCCTGATGTGCTGGCAGTGAGGTCTGGGACGGGAACTGGGCACTCATGGATCTCAAATTTGGTAAGTGGAAGCCGCACTTCTACAAACTCTGCTCTTCTGTGAGTCCAAGGCTGAGGACACATACAGAGAACGGATTGGTGGTGAGTACAGATGATCTGTCCCTTCATCAGGTATCATCCATGGAGCATACTGTATTTCACTTGCTGACATCCTACCGCTGACTTAAGACTCCTAAGACTAGGACCAAGATTCTAGAAAAAATAATAATAGAAGATCCTTTTCAGTACATAGGTTGGCCCCCTTTTCCATTCAAACCCCTTCCATAACAGACAAAGAACCAAAGTTTATATGAGAGTGTGTTGAAACCTTCAGATGATTTTGCTGAGACAACTGATCTGTGTTTGAAAGACTATTTTGGGCTGGTGCCACAGCTCACTAGGCTAATCCTCTGCCTGCAGCACTGGCACATCGGGTTCTAGTCCCGGTCGCGGCACTGGATTCTGTCCCAGTTGCTCCTCTTCCAGTCCAGCTCTCTGCTGTGGCTCGGGAGTGCAGTGGAGGATAGGCCCAAGTGCTTGGGCCTGCACCCATGGGAGACCAGGAGGAAGCACCTGGCTCCTGGCTTCGGATCGGCACAGCACGCCAGCTGTAGCGGCCATTTGTGGGGTGAACCAATGGAAAAGGAAGACCTTTTTCTCTGTCTCTCTCTCACTAACTCTGCCTGTCCAAAAAAAAAAAAGACTATTTTGCATAAACAAGTTCTTAACCCAAACTGGGAACGATGTTATTTCTTCCCTAGCTTCCTGGCAGGAGATCAGCTGATGGATTTTAAATATCAGCCTTCTGTGAGGTATTGCCCAATGTAAAAATCTGCCCAGGAATTTAATAGGGATGGCCTGAAATGATCTGAAAAGATGATTTTTTAAAATATATATGTATTAATTTATTTGACAGAACAACAGAGGGAGAGAGGGAGAGGAGGGGGAGAGGGAGAGCAGAGAAGAGGAGAAAAAGAGAGAGAAGGGAAAGGAAGGGAAGGGAAGGGAAGGGGAGGGGAGGGAGGGGAGGGGAGGGGAGGGGAGGGGAGGGGAGAAAGAACAAAAGAAATATCTTCAACCAGGGCCGGTGCTGTGGCGTAGTAGGTAAAACCACTGCCTGCATGTCAGCATCCCATATGGGCACCAGTTCAAGTCCCAGGTGCTCCTCTTCCCATCCAGCTCTCTGCTCTGGCCTGGGAAAGCAGTAGAAGATGCCCAAGTCCTTGGACCCCTGCACCTGCCATGGGGAGACCTGGAAGACGCTCCTGGTCTCCTGGCTCCTGGCTCCTGGCTCCTGGCTCCCGGCTTTTGGATGAGTGCAGCTCCAGCCATTGTGGGCCATTGAGGAGTGTGAACCAGCAAATGGAAGACAGACTTTCTCTCTCTCTCTCTCCCCACCTGTGTAAACTCTGCCTTCCAAGTAAATAAATAAATCTTTTAAAAAAGAAAAAAAAGAAATATTTCAACTTCTGGTTTACTACCCTAATGTCCATAACAGCCAGAGGTAGGTCAGGCAGAAGCCAGGAGCCAGGAGCTGCCACACGGGTGGCAGGGGCCCAAGCACTTGGGCTATCTTATTCCTTCTCAGGCCTGTTAGTAAGATGTTGGATCATAAGCAGAGCAGCCAGCATGGAACTGGCATTCTGATATAGGAGTGACAGCTTAATCTGCTGCACCACAATACCCGCTTAAAGATGAATTTCAGAATAGGAAAAAAGTCTTTTCCTTATTCCCTCACCTCTCTCCTTGCAGTGATAATGGACTTCCCTCCTTCAGAGTATCCAAAGGCTTCTCCACCACCCGGAATCCTAGAACAGCAACACCACTTCTAAGACACAAAAGAACTTCAAGCTTTGCTTCTCAGGTGGTCACACAGTGTCTTCGTTTTCCTTTTCAAGGTCAGAGAGCCCCGAAGCTGTTAGAATTTTAATTGAAATGTCCTCCCTACAATCTTCATGTTAACTTCAAAATGTTTTGTGACTAGAAATCGAAACTCCAGCAGTTGACAGTTGAGGTGTCCTTTAGCTTCAAAATCAAGTAAGATTCACCACTGAATCACTAGAAACAGACATCAGTTTTTATTGATATACCACACAAATTATGAAACACCACCACATGTGTAATGTATGTGATCATATATAACTCAAATGCACGTCCTCCCCACCTCCAGTCCTTCTGGCTAACGTTCAGGATTATAGTGTTGAAGGGGAGTGTGGTCAGTAAAATGAAAAACTCTGTTTACCTTGATGCTCCTTGTGTGCATTGAAACTAAAAGAACACTTCTCCAGTTCTTGACATTGGCACTGTCTAGGGCAAGCGCTTGGTGTTAAAACCGGCCTACGTCTGGTGCCGAGAAGATCCTCAAGTCACAAAAGACACACCTACAGATATCACGACCTGCCACATATTTTCATTTTGGATACGAGATTTGTCATACCGATCTCACAGTGTGAAGATTAAAATGGGATAGAGCGATGTCAGCATTGCATTCATAGTAAGCCCTAAATCAGTGAGCGCTTTAAAGCCACAGCACTTCTCTGCAACATTTTAAGGAACTTGAGTAACTGGAAAGTGTCCCTGACTTTGGTGATGAATAGTGTGATGAAAGCAACCAAGGAAGCCCTGCCAAAGCAAGTGATAGGGCTGTGGGTGAGCGCAAAATGTGTTAGTCTTCTCCCTCAGTAGCTAGGGGGAATATGAGAAGGAATGTATAAGGTGAACAGACCACACTATACTTCCCCCAAGTTACTAACCTGTTGGAGGTGAGAATACATACCTCTGTGAATTTACCAGCAACTGTAGCAGTTAGAGGTTCACGTGCCTTCACAAACTGCTTTGAGAATGCAACTATCTTCTGAGTGTTAACTGAATTTCTTACATCACTAGTTTTTAGTAAATGTATATTTCTCATTTGAAAAGCATAGTATAAAAATGAGGTTGTATCAAAATGTTTGTGCAGGGGGCCAGTGCTGTGGTATAATGCAGGTGCTATAATGCAGGTGTAATGCAGCTGCTAAGCCTGCACCTGCATTGCTGGCATCCCATATGGGCGCAAGTTCTAGTCCCAGCTGCTCTTCTTCCAGTCCAGCTCCCTGCTGATGGCCTGGGAAAGCAGTGAAAGATGACCCAAGTGCTTGGGTCCCTGCACCCACATGGGAGACCTGGAAGAAGCTCCTGGTTTCCCTCCCTCCCTCCCTCCTCCCCTCCCTCTTACCCTTCTTCTTTTTACCTTTCTGTCATTTAAACAAATTTTTTGAGTTAGCATATTTTATTATTTTTAAAATTTTTTTTTTTTTGACAGGCAGAGTAGACAGTGAGAGAGAGAGAGAGACAGAGAGAAAGTCTTCCTTTTTCCATTGGTTCACCCCCCAATGGCCTCTGCAGATGGCACACTGTGGTCAGCGCACCTGCTGATGTGAAGCCAGGAACCAGGTGCTTCTCCTGGTCTCCCACGCGGGTGCAGGGCCCAAGCACTTGGGCCATCCTCCACTGCACTCCGGGCCACAGCAGAGAGCTGGCCTGGAAGAGAGGCAACCGGGACAGAATCCAGCACCCCGACCGGGACTAGAACCGGGGTGCCAGCGCCGCAGGCGGAGGATTAGCCTATTGAGCTGTGGCGCCAGCCCAAGTTAGCATATTTTAAACTTACATTACAGTAAAAAGGCTTAATACTTCAGGGAGTAAGAAGTTTACCAAGTAAAAAGCAAAAGACTCTAATTTAGTGGGAATATAGACAATGGCTATAAATAATAATTGAGTGGAAAAAAATGACCATTTCACCCATATACAATTTATTTGTCATTCATAATTTCTTTCAATGAAATAGAACCAATGACAATGTAACATCCAGATATTTCCTCTGTGGTTACAAGGTAATAATTTAGCTCATTTAGACTTTAGCCATTTCTTCTTAACAGGTTATGCACAGGTATGACTTCATGCAGATTGCAATGCAATCATCATATTTACATTTTTGGTGTTCTATTAGTTACAACAGAACTAATAGGGAAAATATATGGTATTTGTCTTTTGTGGCACTCGCTTATTTCACTAAGTATAATGGTTTCCAGTTGCATCCATTTTGTTGTGAAAGACAGGATTTCTCTTTTTTTGTGGCTGAATAGTATTCTATAGTATATATACAAATTTTACTTATCCAGTCATCAGTTGATGGGCATCTCGGTTGATTCATATCTTAGCTACTGTGTATTGAACTGCAATAAAATAGGGGTACAAATAACTCTTTCATATGCCAATTTCATTTTGCTTGGAAATTCCCAAAGGTGGGATGGCTGGGTCATATCATAGATGTTTTTGGATTTGAGGAATCGCCATATAGTCTTCCATAGTGGTTGTCCTAGTTTACACTCCCACCTGCAATGATTTAGGGTACCAACTTCCGTACATCCTTGCCAGCATTAACTATTTTTCAATTTTTGGATGATAGCCATTCTAAATGGGGTGTGGTGAAACCTGGTTGTTTTTATTTGTGTTTCCTGGTGGCTAGTGATCCTGAGCATTTTATACTGTTTCTGCTGACCATTTGTATTTCATCCTTTCAAAAATGCCTACTCGTGTCCTTTGCTCTTTTTAGCTAGCTTGTTTATTTTTGTCTTGAGTTTCCTGAACTGTTCATGGATCCTAGAAAATCCATTATCAGTGCTTGTTGCAAGTATTTTCTCCCATTCTGTTGGTTGCTTTTGTTAAGTGTTTCTTTTGAGTGCAGAAACATCTTTTTTTAAAAAAGATTTTATTTAATTTAATTGAAAGTCAGAGTTACACAGAGACAGAAGGAGAGGCTGAGAAAGAGAGAGAGACCTTCCATCCGCTGGTTCACTCCCCAGTTGGCCACAATGGCCAGAGCTATGCCGATCCAAAACAAGGAGCCAGGAGCCTTCTCTGGTCTTTACGTGGGAGCAGGGGCCGAAGGATGTGGTACATCTTCTACGGCTTTTCCAGGCCACAGCAGAGAGCTCTGCCCCTCTTTGTCTCCCTTAACAGTTTTTGTGTTAAAGTTTATTTTGTCAGATATTAAGATGGCTACGCCCACTCTTTTTTCATTTCTGTTGGCATGGTATATCTTTTTCCAGCCTTTCACTTTCAGTCTGCATGCATCTTTGTTGGAAAGATGTGTTTCTTGTAAGCAGCAAATAGATGGGTTTTGTTCCTTAATCCATTCAGCCAATCTGTGTCTTTTAACTGGAGAGGAGGCCATTAACATTCAATGTGACTATTGATAAGTGGTAACTTTGCCCTACCATTTTCCCAGAGATATTTTCTAATATATGCTTTGAACTTCCTGTGATCTTGCTGTGAGGTTTCCTTCCTTTACCTTATTCATATTGATGACGTGTTTCTGTGTTCTGTGTGTAACCCTTTAAGCATCTTTTGCAGGGCTAGACGAGTGGCGACAAATTCTTTCAATTTCTGTTTGCTATGAAAGGTCTTTATTCACAAATGAGAGCTTTGCAGGATATAATATTCTGGGCTGGCAGTTTTTCTTCTTAGTACCCGGGCTATGTCTCGCCATTCCCTTCTAGCGTTAGGGTTTTGATAAGAAGTCAGCGTGAGTCTAATTGGAGATCCTCTGAGAGTAATCTGACGTTTCTCTCTTGCACATTTTAGGATCTTTTCTTTATGTTTCACTGTGGTGTTTGATTACAATGTGTCATCATGAGGATCTTTTGGTCATGTTTACTAGGGGTTCTATGAGCTTCCTGTACTAGGATGTCTCTGTCCTTCTCCAAACCGGGAAGTTCTCTGCTAGTATCTCACTAAAAAGGCCTTCTAATCCTTCTCCTCTCCATGCCTTCAGGAACTCCCAGAACCCGAATGTTGGTTTTTTAATAGTATCCTGTAGATTCCTAGCCATATTTTTAGATTTTAATTTCCTCTTCTTTTCTTTGGTTTGACTATATACTTTCCTGTGCTCTCTTCTAAGTCCGATATTCTCTCTTCTGCTTCACTGACTCTGTTTTAAGGCTCTCTAATGTGTTTGTCATTTGATCTATTGAGTTCTTCATTTCATTTTGGTTTCTCTGCACTATCACTTTTCCTGTTCTACTAGTTTCTGTGTTTCATTTGTTTTCCTCCTTAAGACTTCATTTTCACGAGAGAGATTTCTATCCTGTCCAGTAAGGATTTCTGTAGTTCAAGAATTTGTTTTTGAAAACTTCTAAATGTTCTTATCATAAATTTTTTGAGATACGTATCTTGTATTTCTTCTATCTCATCATCTTCATAATCTTGACTTGGGGTGTCTTGTTCATTTGGGGTGTCATAATGTCTTCCTTGTTCTTGTTTCCTCAGTTTATGCGTTTGTTGCTTGGCATTGTTGAGATATTCTTTGGATTCTTCTTCCCTCGCGTGGTGTTTTTTCTTGTTATACTATGACTGTATTAAGTGGACTGTCTGCTTTTGATGGAGCCTTAGAGGCTTCAGATGGGTGTGGCCAGAGAGCTCTGTTTGGTTCTTCAGGGTTAGGGGTGTGCCAAAGGTGACACACCCAGGTTAGGCATGGTAAATTTCTCTCTCTCCTCTCTCTCTCTCTCTCTCTGATCCAGAAGGGAAGTAATTCTGCACAGCTGAGCGGAATTGAAGGTAGTCAGCTTCTGATCTCTGGCTCCTGTGGGTATAACATTCGTCTGCTCTTTCCCAAGGACCACACAAAGAATCTGTTCTGCCCTCAGTGTGGGCTCAAATTCCCCTACAGTCTCTCACTGGGTTGCCAATTTTACCAAATTGTAGCGTCTCTGGAGAGTACTCACGTGAACTCTGTGAGTTCTCTCACCCACTGTCTCTTTTTTCACTCCTCAGTTCATTAGCTCCAACACATTCACTAGGTCCTAACCTCCTGTTATTTCTCAACACACACACACACACACACACCCCAGAGTCCAGTTTTTCCGCTTGGCTTTGGCAGGTGCAGCCTGGAGGTCGCACAGCTTTTACGTATGTCCAAAATGGTACATGCTCTTTGTCTTGCTCGCCTTTGAGAGGTGAGTGGAGAGAGAGGAGACTCGTGCCTGCTACCAGTCCTTTCTCTCTCTCTCTCTCTTCTGTCTCTTCTCTCTCTTCTCGAGTTAGCCTGGTGAACTTTTCCCATGGTGCTTCAGGCCTCATTCCCTCTAGGCGTCTCCCTTCTGCTTTCCCACCAGTGTCCCAGGCTACTGAGGTTTTGGCTCACCTCGCGTTCCAGCGCTGCTGTGTAGATTCCGCGAACTGGTGTCCCTGAGCTGTGGGCTCCCACGCTTTCTACGCAGGTCCACCATGAATCACTGGTTCTGGAAGAGTTTCCTCTGCTGTTTCTTCCACAACTCTTCCTTGAACCTGCCAGTATCTCAACTTTTATTAAACTGTCTCTTCCCGAACTATCAGTGTGCTCCCTTCCTATTCCGCCATCTTGCCGGACACCCAAGCTCTGGACATTCTTACTCCATAATGTGGTTAACTCAAAATCGTCTCCCGCCCACGTTTTGCTGTTCATGATTAGCATTTTCTCATTTTTTACTATTGTACATTATGTCTGTGCCTAGGGTAACCTAAGGGTAAGCTTTAGATTCTCTTGCATTTTTCTGAGGTCTGAATCTTTGGGGTATTTGTAGTCACTTTCTCAGTTTTTCCATACATAACTTGCAGTTGCTTTTAAAGAACGATTTACTTATTTATTTGAAAGGCAGAGAGAGAGAGCAAGGAGGAAAGAGAGAAAAAAGAAATAGAAAGAGAGAGAGAGAGCTAGAGAGAGAGCACTTCCATCTACTGGTTTACTTCCCAAATTGCTACAACCATCAGTGTGGAACGAGCCATAGCCAGGAGCCAGGAATTCCATCCTCGTCTCCCACTTGGGTGGCAGGGGTTCAAGAACTTAGGCCGTCTTCTACTGCTTCCCAGATACATAAGCAGGAAGCTGGACTGGAAGCAGAGTAGCTTGGACTCAAATCTGTCTCTGGAAAGTCCCCAAACATGTACATTCTGATGGCACTGCATCTTGTCCCTTTAGTCACCTGACCTCATGCCTCTGTGAACTGCTCATGGCATCTCGAACACAGAATGAGGACATGTTCTAAGGAGAGGCCCAGCTGCAGCCTCCCCTGTTGGCACCTGAGTGTCTGAGTCCTCCATGGGTATTGAAGGTATGAACTTTCCTTGTGGTAAGCATCTTTGGGAAGAGTGGCCAGCTCCCCACTGAGAGCCAGTGAGCTGTTTCAGGGTGATACTCATGTATTTGGGAGTTGTAGATTATTTGTGCTATGTTATTCTACAATATGTGTGTATGTAGTTTATATGTATACCTTTCTAGAAATTACAATAGTAATGAATTCTTTCCTCCTAGGAGTTGGAGCATTCTGTACCCAAGAATACACCTACACAGGTAAAGGATCCATTTCCTATCTGTAGACTCTTTCAAGTATTTTTTTTGACAGGCAGAGTGGACAGTGAGAGAGAGAGAGAGAGAAGACAGAGAAAGGTCTTCCTTTGCCATTAGTTCACCCTCCAATGGCTGCCGTGGCCAGTGCACTGTGCTGATCCGATGACAGGAGCAGGTACTTATCCTGGTCTCCATGGGGGCAGGGCCCAAGCACTTGGGCCATCCTCCACTGCACTCCCTGGCCACAGCAGAGAGCTGGCCTGGAAGAGGGGTAACTGGGACAGAATCCGGCGCCCCGACCGGAACTAGAACCCGGTGTGCCGGCGCTGCAAGGTGGAGGATTAGCCTAGTGAGCCGCGGTGCCGGCCTTCAAGTGTTTTTGTAAAAGGAAAGATGTGGGTCCAGAGTGTCTCCCACAAGTGAGAGAGGCCTAGGGTATGTGGATCCTAAATGTTTCCAAGTCAGTGAGCTGGCCCTTTGCTTGCCAGGTTCACTTTCCAGCTCAAGGGAGTGTGGGCCAGACTCGGTGGTCTAATAATGCTTGGTAATACCAGTCTGGAGCTGTTCCTGGGCCCTACGAAGTCCCCTAATTCCCATCTTGCTGCCTTTCCTTCATGGCTATCCTCAGTCTGGCACCATAGCACCTTAAGTCTGTGAGTGCTGCCTCCAGGGTAGTTTTAGGAAATAGAGTGAGACGTTCTCAGGGGAAACGCCCAGGTACGGCTGTCACTCGTGGATCTCAGGTCCCCTTGGGTATTCAGAATATGTGCTTTGTTTCTCTGGAAAGAGTGGCCAGCTCCACACTGAGAGTGAAGTCCCTGCTGTCGGGGTGGTTCAGTGACATGGCCGTGCAGATTGGTGTCAGACAAGGGACCCTGGACTTGGCAGCAAAAGGACTCCATGGGTATTTTTGCCTCCCAGCTATCCAGAGAGGGGAGGAGATCTCACTGTCTTGAGGACAAAAAAGATTGTGTCAAATTGTGTGTTTCCCTGCCTGATGTGTTGTTTGTTTCCATATGTATACTTTCAGTTTATAGATGCATATATTTAGGAATCATAGATTTTTCTAGCTATATTACTTTTTCTGACATAGAGTGATGATAGTGATGAATCCATCTTCCTAGGATGTTGAAGGTTCTCAGCTACAAGGATTAGCCAGATGGGTCCTGGAAAATTTTTCTGTAATTTTAAACAAGTGTGAGTAGTTACACAAACACACAGAGAAACACACACACATACATCTTTAGAGGTTCATTCAGTGTTTATGAACATTTACATAGTTGTGTAGCCAAAGATTTGTTGGAAGTTGGTTGTTTCCCTTTGGACATCATACAGGGCTCATTCTCTCACCAACAAACCAAGAGATGTCTGGAAACTTGCTGCGTTGAGGTGGGACAGGACGTGGGCTTTCCAAGGCCTTAGGTCCTACTTTGTCCTGGGTTGTACATGAGCAATCCCGTTCCCACTTACCTCTAGCAGTTGGCTAAACCTCTTTGCCCAAGAGAGTTGGGCCCTAAGTTAGAAACACTCCTTATATATCTTAATGGGCTAGCAGGACTGAAAGTCGCCCTCTGACCTGGTGAGCTGGATCTCTTTTATGTCATGTTGTTCAGAAGGCTGGTAAACCTGCTGTGGGCCCAGAATGCCCCTCCAAGACAAGGGCTTACAGCATGTAGGTTCCGTGTGTTTCCCAGAAAGCTAGTGTGGTGGCCCTCCAGCTAGCCTGGTCCATATCTCTAGGACAAGTTCATTTTGGCCGAGTCTGGCTCCCAGAGTGTGTAATCTTCAGGGATGGTGGCCAGAGCTGACTCTGGGGAGTGTGCAGATCCACATTCTGGTGGCACCATGGCATAGCTGACCCTGCAGCCAGGTGTCATCTTCCTGGTACCTGCCTATCCTGCCTAAAAGGAAACCTCAAAACCCAGAGGAAGGGCCAGCATTATGGCACAGCGGGTTCAGCCACCACCTACGATGCCAGCATCCCATATGGGAGTCAAGCTGTGTCTTATCTGCTCTGCTTGCTATCCAACCCTCTGCTAATGCAGCTGGGAAAGAAATAGAAGGTGGTCCAATTCTTGGGTCCCTGCACCCATGTGGGAGACCCAGATGGAGTTCCAGACTCCTGGCTTTGGTCTGGCCTAGCCCTGGCTTTTGTGGCCATTTGGGGAGTGAACCAGCAGATGGAAGATCTTCACCCTCTATCTCTCTCATATCACCCTGCTTTTCAAATAATAAAGATAATCAGATTGAGTGGGAGTTCTCAGAGGAGAGGCCCAACTCCATCTACCCAGTCTGCAGTCCAGGCTCTGAGACCCTGGGTTGTACAAAATGTTCTTTTCCTTCTGGGTAAAATCTCAGGCAAGGATGGCCAGCTCCCCATAGAGAGGGAAGTCACTGTGGTCAGGGTTGTGCATGGGCACACCCCTGGGGAGTATCAGTGATCACACCCTGAAACTGGTGTGAAGGGTCTTCTTGGGTGGTTATGAGCCCGATGCAGAGCAACAGGGAAGGGAGCCCAGTGCCCCCTAACCACAGAGGTTGTGTGTTTCTTCTTGTGTTGTATGTGATTGATTTGTGTATGTACATTTTCTTGCCTAGAAATTCTTGTATTTGGAAATCATTGGTGGACTTCTGTCTCTGGTATTTTTCTGAGACAGACAGACACTACCCTGTAACTGTGTGGGTGAGCATTTCTAGGACTAATGGGAGTCGTGATTTCTTCCTTCCCAGCATGGTGAAACATCCCAGTGCAAGGAAACAGCACTACATGTAAAAGAACAATTTTCTATATTGTGTAGACACACACAAGTATTTCGACAGTTATGCACATGTGCTTTGGCATTCATTTAATATTTGTGTGCCTCTCTGTACATGAATACAGGAAGGTATATGCCCCATCGTGTTATTTTGACTGTGGACATCATTCAAGATGCAGCTACCACTTGATAAGCCAAGAGTCACCTGTACATGGTGGCAGGGTGTCAGAGGCTGGAATGGCTCACATGATGTTGATCTTTCCTTTTGCTGACAAGTGATGCCAGTTTGTGTGATGGAGATGTTTAACATGCAGCCGTGGGTCTGGCTCAGCCATTGCACCAATAGGAGTCCCTGGACAGTGAGCAGTAGAGCACCCCAGGCTACAGGAAGCCAGAGTTCATTCACGTAGTCCTGACACGTGAGATTATCTGTATAAACGCAGCAGCATTTTACTTCCAAGCCATACTTCTATAGAGTATGTGTGTGTATACATATTTAATTGCTCAGGCTTTGGTTCTTGACATTATGTAGATGATAGGTTTTTTATCTATATATTATTTTTTTAATTTGGCAAAGACAATTCAAACACTGCTTTTCCTATGAGATCTTATTTTCAAAACACTGCATTTAAGGATAATTTGGGCACAAATTAAGGTGATTCTTGGCCATGCTGTGTCAAATCCAGGAGATTGGGGTGAGTCTGCTGTCTGTGTCTGAACTTGGCAAAAGCCATTTCCTGCTAGAGTTGTGGCCTAGGTGAATGTGATCCCAGATGTTCCTGTCTGGCAGTCTGACAGACTCAAAATGAATAACATCACTAATTAATTAAAAAGCGTTTCTGTGATTTAACGCAAATTTTTCTGAAATTAGATTGATACAAAAATAAAATAAAATTATTAACTCTAAACTCAAATGACACAAGTAAAATTAAAAACTCTCAATTTTGTGGCTCAACGAAACTAAAACTGATTCATCAAATGAATGAAAGGATGTCCACTAAAGAAAGGTTTACCAATAATTCAGAGAAAATCATTTTGTAGATTAGATGAGTCCATGAGCTCAGTGATTCTGATACTGACTCTCCATTAAAAGGGAATAAATATGGCCAGCGCCGTAGCTAATCCTCTGCCTGCGGCGCTGGTACCCCGGGTTCTAGTCCGGTTTGGGCACCAGATTCTGTCCCGATTGTTGCTCTTCCAGTCCAGCTCTCAGCTGTGGCCTGGGAGGCAGTGGTGGATGGCTCAGGTGTCTGGGCCCTGCACCCGCATGGGAGACCAGGAGGAAGCACCTGGTTCCTGGCTTCAGATAGGTGCAGCATGCTGGCCATGGCGGCCATTTGGGGAGTGAACCAACGGAAGGACCCTTTCTCTCTGTCCCTCTCTCACTGTCTAACTCTACCTGTCAAAAAAAAAAGTAATAAATCTGGATTTGTGCAGTTGGGACCGTTGTTGTCTTCCATAAGAGACCTCTCTAAAGTAGCAATATTTTGGGTGGGGAGACTCATATGAAATAAACTGCAAAACTAGGAAATTAGATATCATATTTGCTAGCTTTGCACAGAAACCACTGAGAGAAGCTGGTGAGGTGAGGCAAGCTTTTCTGAATCCTAGTGCTCATTCTAGAAAAACCAAATTTTCCATCAAAAGGGAGAACACAAACCTTGATGGGAATATGCCCATCCCCATACAAAGGCACTAGAGGGGGGAATCAGTACTAGAAAGAGAGCAAGGACTCCCACCCTGAAAACATTCCCAGCTTGATGTCATCTGTGCTCTCAGCAGGGTAGTTTCCAGGATGAGGAAAAATCATTAGGAAAATGATACCAAGCATGAAAGGACGTCGTTACTAAGAATCCAGGAAGCTCGGGAATGGATGGAGAGAAAAGGGGAAAGAAGAAGGAAAATGGGAAAAGGAACATCAGCCATGAAGTGTAAACTAGAAGAAACACAGGAGCAGGCTGTGCCTTTCAAGACACGGAAGGTGAATAGAAGAAAATGTTAACAACAGAAACCTGATCAGAGATGTTGGAGATGAAGAGAAGCACAGGGAGCTGCTGGATGCCTGAATTCTGGAAGGGAAGAGACAGTGCAGTGACCCAAAGCCAATCAGCACAATGCAGACTTTTCTGCCAACGAAAATGCGCTGTCAGATTCCATCTTAGAAGACCACTGGATGTGACTTTGGCTGATGCCATTGATATTCCAGTAAAATCTGTGTATTAAAAGAAAAATGTTCAGGCATCTAGAATACAAGGATGAGTGACATAAAGGGAAATGAAACTGAGTATCTCATCGTCTTGTAGAACAGCGAGTCTGGGCAAAAGGAAAAAGAATATATTTAAGATGCTTGAGAAGAGAAACTAAACCTGGAATTTGTGCCATCCAAGCTGACATTAGGTAAAAAGTGCATTGGCATCCAGGTCGTCAAGAGACACTGTGAGTGAAAGGGACCCCATGATGCCTTCCAATGGAAGGAACAGATGGGTGACAACAAAACCCCTAGGGGCCGGCACTGCAGCAGTTAACGCCCTGGCCTGAAGTGCTGGCATCCCATATGGGTGCCGGTTCGAGACTCGGCTGCTCCACTTCCAATCCAGCTCTCTGCTACAGCCTGGGAAAGCAGTAGAAGATGGCCCAAGTCCTTGGGCCCTGTACCCGTGTGGGAGACCTGGAAGAAGCTCTGGCTCCTGCTTCAGATCGGTGCAGCTCTGGCCGTTGCGACCATCTGGGGAATGAATCAGAAGATGGAAGACTTCTCTCTGCCTCTTCTCTCTCTGTGTAACTATGACTTTTGAATCAATAAATAAGTCTTTAAAAAACCATAGAAAGTATTGCTGTAAAACGGATTGAAAAGACCACCCTGGCAGTGACTATTCATTGAGGATCAAATGGGATTCCTCCTGAGGGGTTGTGGTGGTGGTAGTCACTAGGGTGACTGCTCTCAGATCCTTTAAGTTCTACTTTGCTGAGGTGTTTCCCTGTGATGTGCTTCATGGACAAAACCATATGAAAAGCAACCAGTACGGATGATGATAATTTAATACCATAATCTGCAGAGGACTGGTGAGGAGAGATGTGGCTGGTGAGCTGTGTCTCCTCCTGCGTTGTTCAAGCTTCCTGTGGTTGGAGAAGCTCCAACTCCTCTGTGTCCTGCCCTCCACATTGCAGGCTTCCAGGAGCAAAGGAATCTGCAGGAAGACACAGGAATGGGGATCAGTGAGGAGGACAAGGACGCGGCAGCTGGTGCAAGGGGTGTGTGCAGGACTCGGAAGTTTTCTGTGACCCTCGAAGGTGACCCTAGGCTGTGATGCCCAGTGATTTGGGCCATCGTAATGGAGGCCCATTTGCTTGTGATATGGACATCCCACAAGAGTGAATTCCTGGGGGCCCACATGTGGTATAACAGGGTATTACCACCTGCAACTCCCTCATCCCTTATGGCGTCCAGTTTCAATCCTGGCTTCTCCACTTCTGATCCAGCTCCCTGATAATGTGTCTGGAAAAGCAGTGGAAGATGGCCCAAGTCTTGGGCCCCTGCACCCATGTGGGAGACTGTAAAATCTCCTGGTTCCTGACTTTCAGTCTGGCCAACCCCGGCTGATGCGGCCATGTTGGGATGGAAGATCTCTCTATGTCTCCATGTCTCGTCTCCTCTCTCTCGTCTCCTCTCTCTCTCTTGCTCTCGCTCTCTGTAACTGTGCCTTTCAAATAAATAAATCTTTAAAAAAGAGTAAATTCACCTAGACATTCACCTGGCAGCCTTCAGGGAACTGGCCCAGTAGGTAGTGAACCTGATGCACAGGAAGTGGGAACTATCTCTTAGCCCTCAGAATGCACAGGGAAAAGGGAACTCTCTTGACCAACTTGACTTGGGTCCTGTGAGGAAAGGGATGTCTGATGACACAGGAAGGAGTACTGACCCTCCTCACATCTGTTCATACCCCAGGATCCTAGCTTGTGACTGACAAGTTAACTATGGAAGACTTCCCAGAGCTCTTTGAGTTCTCCCCTGATCAAGCAGAACTTTCTATTCTCACCCTGATCGCAGGGATTTTATTAAGAAGATCATTTGGTGATGGAATTGTGGCATAATGAGTTAAGCCACCACCTTAATGCCAGCATCCATATTGGGATGCAGTCCAAGTCCTGGCTGCCCACTTCCAATCCAGCTCCTTGCTAATGGATGTGGGAAAGCAGCAGAAGATCGCACAAGTCCTGGGCCCTTAAGCTGATGTGAGGATCCAGATGAAGGCTGGCTCCTGGTTTTGGTCTGGCCCAACCCAGGCTGTTGTGGCCATCGGGGGGAGTGAACCATGGATGGAAACATCTCTCTGTTTCTCCCTCCCTCTCTGTAACTATGCCCTTGAAAACACAAAGAATCATTTTTTTGGCGTTTAAAACCCAAACTTATTGCTTTTGTGCATATCAGCATTGAAGGGGGGTGACGGAAAACAATTCTTTCAAAAGGTCATAAACCCAGTGTGCATATATAAGTTAAACTATAATTAGAGCACAAATAAAAGGAACACAAGGGATTTATACTCTGCTCCTCTTGCTCTTCAAGTGAGCTTTGCTTTGAATTGCCATCGTGTTTCTGTGTGAATTAGACAGATGCACAATTTTATATTCCTTCCAAATAAAACAATCCAACCATATAAATAATCCTTCTTTATCAGCCTTTTACGAAAGCAGGTTGAGGGCCCCAATGGCTTAGGCAAATCCCTATAGCTCTTATGTTTTTTTTTTAAGATTCATTCATTTATTTGAGTCGGAATTACACAGAAAGAGAAGGAGAGGCAGAGAGATAGAGAGAGGTGTTCCATCCGATGGTTCACTCCCCAGATGCCGCAACGGCCAGGGCTCCAAAGTCCGAAGCCAGGAGCCAGGAGCTTCTATTGGGTCTCCCACATGGGTGCTGGGGCCCAAGCACTTGAGGCATCTTCTTCTACTTTCCCAGGCCATAGCAGAGAGCTGGATCGGAAGTGGGGCAGCTGGGACTTGAACCAGTGCCCATATGGGATGCCAGCACTGCAGATGGTGGCTTTACCTGCTGTGCCACACGCGCCGGCCCCATCTCTTTGTTCTGTGCTAGCCTCTGTAATGTCAGGATAAGTTGGGTGCCCACAGGGATGCAAAGGTGAGTGCAGTGGGATGTTCTCCTGGAGTGAAAAGGAGCCTCAAAATGCGACTCTCTCACCCCCCTTCCTAATCATCCTGAGCTGGAGGAGGTCAGGGATTGCCCTGTGTCTCCCCATGGCAGAGAGTCTCCCTGTTGACTTTGGGGCTGGGCAGGCAGGGATGTGGGCTCTGGAGGGAGATGTTCACAGCTCTGGCGGCTCTCCCCAGAAACACACGCCAGCAGCTCCCTCTGATGACGTTCGTGTGCCAGTCCTCCCCTTCCGATGAAAGCAGCCACTAGGGGCTCAGCCTGGGAGCCCTAGGGGCTGCCATGGAATGGGGATGTGTCCCTGGGACCACCTCACGGCACATCCTTTACTTGCCTGTGTAGATCCTGAACATCCATTAGTGTCTACTTGATGGATCAGGGCTGACGGCAGCCTCTCCACTACTGGGCTCCATTTTGTTGGCTTCCCTGAGGTGTCACAAAGAATGTGAAGCAGTGAAGTCCGTGTGCACTTATTTCTCTGCCCCCCATCTTCCTGCTCCAAACTCACATTTCCTGTTCTTCTTGGTCAAGGTCCTCCATGTCCAGAAGACTTTGGGGATAGTTCACGTCCAGGGAACATGTGGACAGCTGGAAAGAAGAAACAGTGTGAGTTTCCTGAACCAGGCATTAAAGAAAAGCCCTTTCTTAGGGGACATGGAGGCCAGAGTCATACTTCCCTGGAGTCCTCCCTCCACTGACACTGGGACCCTGCCTGCCTGTCCCCAGCCCAGCTCCCTGTGTGGGCAGTCGGGTTGCTCAGCACCGTTTCATAGTGCAGTCCAGGGGTGAGGAGGGCAAGGCTGATGAAGGGAGAGGGGAGGGCTGCAGAGAGACTGGATCAGCATCCACAGTGCAAGGACATCCACTGCCTGGATGCCACCAGGTCCTGCAGGATGCGAATCATCCACTGTGGTGAGGAGGGAACGTGGGAGAAGCAGGACCAGGGGCTTGTGAGCAAGAAAGCGAGAGAATCAGAAAAAAATGAAAGAGGAATCACTCACCCCCCGATTGCCACACCCAGTGGAAAGTTCAGGTGCTGCCCCATAGCCTTCCATGTGCACCAGAGCAGGGGTGTTGAGGTTGCCAGAGAGAAGGAAAGGGGAGAGTTAGACTTGAGGTGAGGACTCGGATCCCTGCTGCTGGTTGGATGATGTGGGCCAGCCTTGGGACCCCATGTCTATATCCCTATCCCAGGCCTGGATGTCTTCACCTCTGCAATGAGCAAGAGGATCTCAGAACGTTCACCCTCTTCTCCTGCCCTCAGCTCCCATGACTGTGGCCAGGAAAGGACCCCCGTGTCATCTTGTTACTCCATAGGAGCCATGTCCATGACATGATCTCTGTAACACACTGTTTTCCACCCTTCATCTTTCCCTTCCTCTATTCTCTCTCCTAATTATTGCCAGTCTCCTTTGCATTCGTCAGCCTGCACGAATCAAATTGCCATCGGCTATGAGAGCTTTGTAGGTAAAATGGCACTGTGGTCATGCCAGCGTCCCCCCAGAGCACTGGTTAGTGTCCTGAATGCCCCACTTCTGATCCAGCTCCCTCTTAAAGGGCCTGGGAATGCACCAGAAGATGGCCCAAGTGCTTGTCCCCTTGCCACCAATGTGGGAGAAGTGGATGGAGTTTCAGGCTCCTGACTGGCCTGGCACAGCTCAGGTATTGGGGCCATTTGTGAAGTAAACCTAAGGATGGGAGAGCCCTTCCTCTTGTTTCTCCTTCTCTTTCTAATACTGTGGGGCTTTTTAAATATTTATTTATTTATTTGAAATGAGGAGTTACAGAGAGAGAGGACACAGAGATCGTCCATGTGCTGGTTCACCCCTCAGATAGCCGCAATGGCTGGGACTGTGC